AGGATTGTTGACATTTATACACCTCAAGGTGCTTCCATCTTTTAGGGGAAACAAGGAGTTCAGAGAAAGGACTTTGATATTTCTATGCTTTATATTTATTATACTAATCCATTAATTAGTATTTATTAAAATTCTCTATGTGCACAGTATGAATTCAAATAAAAAGTGAGACAGTCTCTGTCTTCAAAGAATTTATATTGTAATAGGGGAAGATAATGAGGTTTATGGGTAGGTAGAGATAGGATGTATAAAAAATACACAGTGATTTGAGAAGGTCACTAACAACTGAGTAGGGAGTAGGTTGGTGGGAAGATCAGGAAAGGCCTCTTGAAGAAAATATCCTTGATGCTTCTAAGAGGCCAGTGAGGAGGAAGAGCATTCTAGGAAGATGGGACCGCTAATGCAAAAGCACAGGAATGGGAAATGGAGTGTTGTGAATGGGAAAAGGCAAGCTGACCAGTTTGACTGAAGCACTGAGTGTGTAAGGCAGAATACTGTATGATCAGCTTAGAAAAATAGGCTAGATTCAGACTGTGGAGAGCTTTCAATGCCCGAAAGATTTTATGCTTTAACCTAAGGTTAATGGAGACTACTGACACATTTTGAGCAGAAGAGGAATGCACAGTCAGACCTGTCCCTTAAAAGTACCAGTTTGGGGGCTTCATGGAGCCTAGATTGGTGATGGGGGCATTAGGAAGTTGCTGCAATTGTGCAGAGAGATGATGAGGGCCTTATCTTGAATGACTCTGGTATGAATAGAGGGAAAAGGGAATGGACATACGAATTGTGAAGGATGCAGAATCAACCAGACATGGCAGCTGAGTGGATATGGTAGGATGAATGAGAGTGAAGGGTCAACGAGAGATCTGATTGACCAGAATCTGTATCTCTTTATGTCTTGCAAGTATTTTCTCATTATGCTGTTTTAGCCTATAACAACCTTATGAAAGAGGCAGGACAGATATTTTTATCTGCATTTTATGAATAAAGAATATGATAGGGCTATGCAAGGAAACAAGAATTTACTAAGCATACACCTATCTCATTTGATCCTCATGATAACCCTGAGAGGTAGATGCTGTCATTATTTCCATTTTATAATTAGAGAAACTGAGGCAGACAGAAGTTAAATGACTTGCCTGAGGTCACACAGTAGTGTCTGAGGTTAGATTCAAACTCAGGTCTTCCTGACTCCAGGCCCAGCATTCTATCCATCATACCATTTAGCTGCTTGGGAAAAGTAGCTTGTTCACGGAAATGTAGCTAACAAATAGCAGAGCCAGAATTCTAATGTAGGTCTTCAAGTTAGCTGTTGTTTCTATAATACTATCCTGTCTTTCTTTGGAAATAGTCACTGGTTAGTGACTAAGGCTGTCAAGGGCACTAAAGAGAAACAGGATGTCCATCATGGAAAGTTTGTTTATCTTAATGACTATTGATATTCCAACATAGAGCATTATTGGATTTGTCAAGCTGGAGACAGGAACTGGTGACTTCATAAAGCAGTACTTTAGGAATGTACATTACCCTGTTGGTAGGCACAAAGACTGGTTAAAGATCAGAGCCATTTATAGGCCCCTTTTGTCCTGGCAAAGCCAGTACAAATATGGGGAGACGAGTGTCTTTGAAAATTCTTTGGACAAAGGTTCATACAAAAGGAATTTCCTCAATATGAGGAAGTCAGTAAAACTTGCATTCCTGCCAGCTATGGAAGAAATAACAATAACTTGCACTTTCTCTAATGATTGGCCTCAGTTTTACTGATCAAGAAATAGAAACTCAGAAAAATGTTAACAAAACTACCAAAGGTCACAGAGATGGTTAGTGATGGATATGACACTCAGGGATCCTAAATCCTAGCATAACTCTCTGCTACAATACACTAACCTTGGTGTCATTGCTTGGATAGAATCAATCAGTTAATTCACAAGCATTTAGTAAGTACTTACTGGATGCCATGAACTGTGTTAGTTGTGGGAAATTTTCCCCCCTGATCTGGACCTACGATTTACTTTATGTAGGGAACTCTCTGGTCATGACATTTCTTTTGCCAAAACAGATTTGTGATTACTCTGTAACCTGTAGTCATAGAGAATTCATAGGCTCATCGAATTATAGGTGGAAGAGACCTCAGAGGCCCTATAGTCCAATCGTCTCATCTCAAAGAGGCCAAGGTCATACACACTGTAAGCAAGGGAGCTAGGATTCAACCTCAGGGCTTTGGACTCTGAGTTTGGTCCTTGTCCCACCGTTCCATACTTACCTTCCTTTGCTGCATGGGCAGACAAAGGAAAAAGTTGAGTAAGTGCTAATGACACAAAGATGAAAGAATCCCTACCCTCAAAAAGCTTTTCATGATCTCAGGAGAAACACACACACGTACATGTATATAGTGTGGCTATAAAATCAAGATAGATAAAAGTAATTATTGGGGGGAAGCATTAGCAGCTGAGAGATCAGAAAAAATACTCATGTAGAAAGTTATATTTGAGCTGAATTTTGAAGGAAGAAAGTAGAGATTCTAAGGTAGAGGTGACAAGAGAGCCCTTCCAGGCATGGTGGACAGCTTATGCCAAGGTGGTGCTGTTGCTGTTTGCCCTTTGTTTTTGAAGAGGACCAGAGGTATCTTGAGCATGAGTTGGATTGAAGTGAGGTAGAGTTGCACAAAGGCATCAGTATCACCCTCTCTTCCAGAGTCATCCACCATCCCCTATACCTAGAGTGGGCCAAGGTGCCAAGATGGGAGATGATGCGTCCTACAAGGAGGCCAGTTTGGATGGACCACACAGTGAAGGAGTAATGTGTGATAATCACAGAATTTCAGAATTGAAAGAGAATTCAGAGATCATCTCTGAAAGGACTAATGCAAAGACCTTCTCTCCTCCCCATCTCCCTCACCCACCTTTTGTGTGTCAGCTTCCCTTATTAGAATGTGAGCTCCTTGAGGGCAGGGAATGCCTTCTTGATTGTATTTGTATGTCCAGCACTTAGTTTAGTGCCTGGTGCATGGAAAGGGCTTTATCTAACCTCTAATCAAGTCCAACCTATGTCTGAACAGAAATCTCTTCTACAACAGCCTTAATAAAGGATCTCCATTTGAAGGCATCTAGTGCAACTAGGTGGCTTAGTGGAAGAACATTGGGCTCAGGTTCAGGCAGATTATTGAGGTACATGAGTTCAAATCCAGCCTCAGATACATAGTAGATGTGTGTAATCCTGGGCAAGTCACTTAACTCTGTTTGCCTCAGTTTCCTTATCTGTAAATTTAGCTGGAAAAGAAAATGGCAAATCATTGTCAAGAAAACCCAAAATAAATAGAGTTGGACATAACTGAACAGCAAGCGACAGACCTTTCCACGTTTGGGCTGCTGTAACTGTCAGGAAGTTTTTTCCTAATTCTTTTTCTTTGCTGCAATGTATATTTTAATTCAAAGTGAGTCTTGACAGTGATACACCAGAAATTCTTATTTTTAACAATGACCAAAATATAGTCACTTGAAAAACCCTGCTTTTTGTGACAAAGTGCAGAAGGTTTGGTCACATTGAAATCACTGAGAACTAGAGAAAAATACTATCACAAACTCTAAGACACATTACAGCCATAACATTTTCCCCTAGTCCTTATTGTAATATTGCACAGTGCAACTGCTACATGACAAACTACTGTAGAATAGAAATAAGAGCAAACCAAACCAAACCAAAGTTTTTTCCTTATTTAAAAGTGAAATAAGCCTCTCTGAAACTTCCACCCATTAGAGTTAGATTAGCCTCCTGTAGCATGCTGAAAAAGTCTAATCACTCTTCTACATGACAGTATTTCCAACACCTGATGACAATTATCATGTCCTCTAAATCTTTTCTTTTTCATACTAAACATTCCTAGTACTTTCAATGATATGATATGGTTCCTAGTCTCTTCATAATCCTGGTGTAGTCTCCTCCTCTCTCTCTCTCTCTCTGTCTCTTTTTTTTTTTTTTTGGCTAGGGTCACACAGCTAGTAAATGTTATGTGTCTGGGGTTAGATTTGAAGTCAGGTCCTTCTGAATCCAGGGCCGGTGCTCTATCTACTGCACCACCTAGCTGCCCCCCTCCGCCTCTTTCTTGTCCAACACACTCCAATTTCTCCAGTCTTTTTTTTTGGAAAAAAAATGGCACCCAGAACCAAAGGGACCAGCACATCCCTCATTCCCAGCATTACGCTTCCATTAATGCAGCCTAAAATTGCATTAGCTTTTTTTGGCTGTCATTCACATTGAACTTAAATCATCATGTTGTTTTCACATGAACTTTTATTTAGTATATTTCCTTCATTCTGTACTCTTACAGCGGAATTTTTGAACCCAAGTATAGGACTCACTATTTATATCTTCTTAGATCAGTTCTATTATTCTAGTCTGTTGAAATTTTTTAAAAAAATCCTAATTCTATCATCCTATAAGTTAGCTATTGCCCTCAATTCTGTATCAGTCATAAATTTGATAAGAATATCTGTGCCTTCATCCTAGTGCTGAATAGAGTATGGCCAAAGATGTGCTTCAAAAAGGTCAAAGGTTAAAAATGGCTTCCTTTTATCTCTCCCCCATCATACCCCACCCAAAGCAGCTAGTGACGCAGATAGAACCCTGGCCTGGAGTCAGAAAGACTTGACTTCAGATTCAGCCTCTGAGACCAGTTGTGTGACCTTGGGAAAGTTATTTAACCTCTGTTTGCCTCAGTTTATTCAAGTTTAAAATGGGAATAATAATAGTACCTACTTCTCAGGGTTGTTGTGAGAATCAAATGAGATAATATTTGTAGAAAGTGCTTAACATAGAGCCTGACACATAGTAGGAATATAATGCCTATATAAGCATATCAATATTTATATGATTTATATAAGCAAATGCTTACTCCCTCTCACCCAGAAACATTCCACTAAAGGCCTCTATCTAGGTTGACATCAATCCATTATCTCTTAAACATTGAGTCTGGTCATTCAATGTGTTATGAATTCACTTACTTTTTCTCCCATCTAGTCCACGTTTTTCCATCTTGTTCAGAAGGATGACAGGAAATATTTGGGAAGCTGTGGGTCACTGTTAATGATGTTAATGATGGTCCTCATCATTGTTCTGGGATATCAAGAAATGTTAAAGGTTAATACTTCGATGAAGACAATTTAAGAGCTGACTGACACATGTGTAGGTGTGGGAAAATATTCTTTAAATAAAAGTTTGAGATTGTACATGCTGACCTAGTTCTCTGTCATATAGGAACCATCACGACTGATTTTCAGCATGATATTGTCAAAAGAGTGTTGAATTGAGATAGAGGACCTAGATTCAAGCCCCAGGCTACTACCTATCTGACCTTGGGAAACTCATTTTTCTGGGCCTCAGTTTCCTCATTAGGAAAACAGAGAAGGGGTTGAACTAGATCACCTCAATGGTCCTTTCCAGCTCAAAGGCTGTGATCTTATGATCCCACGGGCCTATGACTATAATAAGAGATATGTACATCCCTATGTAATATTGTTTGGATTACTCAGTTTCTCACAGTTAAGTGGACAGTTCTCAGGTTCTCTGGCTGTCTATCTCTCCTCTGGACTCACATTACCACCACCACCACCCCCTGGTTTGGACTCTCATTGTAACAGCTTTTTAATCACCCTCACTGACTCTAGGCTATCAGCCAGCATGCATTTATTCAGAGCTTACTATGTGCCTGGCACTGTGATGAGCTCTGAGGATACAAAGAAAGGTAAAAAACCCAAATGATCCTAATCCATAGGTGTGGATTTTTACTGCTACGTCATTTTGCTGCTCATAAACTTTCAGTAGTTCTACTGCCTATTGGATAAAATTCAAGTTCCTTAACCCAGTATTTAAGACCCTCCTCTATGACTTGGGTCCAAGTAGCTCCTATGGGCTTGGAGAGCCAATTGTTAAATTGTCAATGTAAGCCTTGGAAATCAACAAACTACAAATCAGGGCTTGATTTATGATTTTGTTGATCATCTAGACTTAAGAGAATGATGGAGAGAATGTTAATAAAGCAGATTAGACTTTAAAAAGTATGTTTTTGATTACCCCCCCCCGAGAGCTGGTTGTTAAATATTTTTTAAAAAGAACACAAAAGACACAGCATACCCCTGTCTGGTCCAACCTGTTTTTCTAGTATCATTTCATTATTATACTATTGAATAGGAGAACCTACTTTCTTTAAGCCTCTATTACACAATCTTACTCTGAATTTGTTTAGACCAGTTCCTATATCTGGAATGAATACCTTCCTCATCTCTTTCTCTCCAAATTCTTCTTTTCCTCTAATGCTCATACATAATAGGCATTGAGATGATGCAGTGGATAGAGTGCTGGGTTTTGAATTAGGAATACCTGAGTCCAAATCCTGCTTTTGACATTTACTAGCTATGTTACTTTGGGCAAGGTTCCTAACCTTTCTCAGTCTCAGTTTCCTCATCTGTGATATGGGAATAAGAATAGTACGTCATATATCATAAGGATTAAATAAAATAACACGTAAAGTGCTTTTGTAAACTTCTATATAGATGCTAGCTATTATTATTATTCCTCAGATATGACTTTATGGCATCCCCATAAAAAAGTCTCTTTCCTGGGCCCCCAAATGTAACCCTGGTAAAAGGATTCCCCAGATGAAGATGGCTTCATTTCAGAATTCCTTGACAAAGACAGCATCTCAGATTTGATTTGGTAAATCAACATTGGGGCTTTTTTCCCTATGTTTCTTTTCTCATGCAGTTCAATAACTCCAGCTCCCTGTCTTGAAAATGAGATGACTTCCAAAGCGTCATATTTTTACAAATTCCATTTTGTCAGTAAATACTGGATCTTTCCCCCCTAATTGGTGTATATTTGTCTTATCCATTGTTTCAGTGATGAATATTTCTGAAAAACTAGAAAATCTTCTCAAGACAGAGACTCACCTTAGTGTGAAAATAGTGATTGTGTCACTCATTGAGTGTGCACAGCTTGGTAACTATTGAAATTAGCAGTTTCTATCAACACTTCCTAGGAGGCAATATAAAGTTGAAGGGGGAGCTTGGCTGTACTCTGGACACATCCAAGTATAATTATAGGGGAGACCAAGTGAAACCCAAAGGCTGTAGAATTCCGGTAGGATTTTGGTAGAGTTTAATGGAGATCCTGGTACCCAAATCAAAAGCCAAGCCCGGAAGTGTCACTTTGCGGTTCTATTGATAAATGAGAAAACCACTTGGTAACAATTAATATAACTCAACTCTCATGACCTAAAAGAAGTGTCAGCCAAATGGCACAAGAGTGTTTTCATTTCTTTTTCTGGATGAAATTATTGTCTGGGTTTTTTTGGTATGTGTATTTTGTTTTCATTTATATTATATTAGACCCAGCTTTATACTCATTTCTTGAAATACACTGAGCATACTGATGCACAGCCTTAGCTCAGGTTCAAATGTGCATCACTGAGGGCTGTATCTACACGATTATGAACATCTGGATATTTGGATACATGCAGATTTTTGGCAGAAATTTCCAGCCACGGATTTGGACCTATCTGCTTTTGAGTTCAGGCTAAAATGGATTCTTTTAACCCATTCATAGAATCAGAATCTTAGAATTGTAAGGCACCTTAGAGAAAATCTAGCACAAGGTCTTATTTTCCTTCAGAAATCCCCAGGAATCCCTTCTGCAACCTCCCATATATATTATCTAACTGCTTTTTCAACACCAACAGTTACAGGGAACTGGAATGTAGGATCATAGATTTATGTAGATGGACCTCAGCAATCTTCTCTGACCCCCCCCCAGAAATGACTTGCCCAAGGTCACTCAGATGGTAAGTGTGAGAGCTGAGATTCAAACTATTCTTCTGATGTCAAATTCAGCATTTTTTTCCCCACTGTACCATGGATTTGGAGTTGCTGATTTTAGAATCTCTGCATTTAAAGTCACTGGATTTAGAACAAGAAACCATGGGTTCAAATCCTCATTTCACTATTTAACTATCTGGTTTTCAGCAAGTCTTTGGGCATCAGTTTCCTCATCTGTAAAATTAGGCAGGTAGATTCCTGTTGTTGAATCATTTCAGTTGTATCTAACTCTCTGTGACCCCATTTGGGGTTTTCTTGGCAAAGGATGCTGGAATAGTTCAGCCATTTCTTTCTCCAGTTCATTTTACAAATGAGGAAACTGAGGTACAGCATTAAGTGATTTGCCCAAGCTCACACAGTTAGTAGTGTCTGATGCTGGATTTGAACTCAGGAGGAATTTTCCTGATTCCCAGCCCACCCACTTAGCTGTCCTATTTGGGTTAGACTAGATGGACTCTAAAGTCCGTTCTAGCTCTAAGGCTACTATCTTATGCCTATTGAACTATGTATTGAGGCAGTGCATGCTATTTTCAGAAAGTTTTAATTGTAAATTCATTTATATTGAGCTTTCAACCTTGCAACTTCTCTCCATTGATTCACATAAAATCAGCCTAATGCCTCTCCCCAATGACAGATACCTGATATGTTGGTCTATCAAAACCCCTGCAATCTGTACCCTCTCCAGCATGGATTTCCTCTATAGATACTTGGTCCAATCTATCTGCTTTTTCCCCACCTCTGTTCTCTAATGACATTTCTATCTCTTCCATAAGCACATGGTTAGATGAATGTGGTAATTCCCTTATCCTTGATGGCAAAAATAGTTTATTGAAATTCTTTCCCCCACCAAGAGTTATTTTCATTTTTCTTCTGTTTGTTAATTCTTCCATTTTTGTCCTTGGTTGTCCTTGGAATGACTTTGCTTAGATGGAACTCTTGCCAAGCTTTCTTTAAATTGGTCTTACCCTTCATTACTTCTCTCTGCTTTATCAGAAAATACTGTTCATAATTTCCTGTTGTCCTTCTTTAGAAGATATTACAGACAAGTTTACATTTTAGCTTGGTGTTTCCTTTGGTGGCCTCTTTTTGTTAGGCAAGGAAGTCACGTTTGATGACTAAGGTACTCTCTGTGCTCTTTTGGTCCCCTTGTTGTGGCAATTAATTTAAATTGACCAAATTCCTGGGTGAAATTGTTTTAGTCCATGTCAATGTCATTTCTGTTGTCTGTTTCTTGCTTTGGACTTTCAGTGACTTATCTGAATTATTTAGAGTTAAATCATGTTAATTGCATGCCTTTTTTTTTCAATATTCTTTCCCCCCACCCCAATCAGAGAGGTGACAGACCTAGCTCTCACATCAATAACAAAGTCTTTTTCTGCCTGTTAGTGTAGGCAGTTTCATTTTGGGGTGCTATTTGGTGCTCCACCATTTCCATTTCCTACCACTTCTTCTTTTGAATAAGGTGTTTATAATATAGAGGTATGAGGCTTCTGTATAATCTGCATGACTTTGGTGGCTACCACTTCTTTCTCATTAACCCTTGTATTTTTCCCATCCTTATCTTTTCTCAGTTTTGCACTGGGAGTCTCTAAGGATCAGAGTGTAGTCTCCTTTGATCTTAGGGTCTGATCAAGTTCTTCATAGCATTTCTATAGCACTTCACATCTAGCACCCACTTATATTGGTGCAAAAGCTGCAGTTATTTTCATGGTTTCTTTTTGCAAATACTCATTATTAGTATTGCATTATATGATGACTCAATATCCCATGAAATAGTGTTTCTTGTAATCTCTGGGCATATAACAAAATCACAGATTATTATAAAATTTAAATGCATACATGGAAGACACCTCATCTCAGGAGGCTTCAAAGATGTATCTTATTCTGTTGAGCAAAATGCTTTTAAAAAATCAATATGAAATAAACACAGTGGCATCTTATGTTTTCTGCACCTTTCAATTATGTGCGTACTCTTCTGTAGAAAATCCTCTGTGAAAGCCGAATCTATCGCCTATTCGTATTTTCATCAGAAACACCCCTGATGAACACATGGGTCATTCTCATAAAGCTTTTATAGCTTAACAGGCAGGTATATAGATTAATTGTTGCTGATGCCATTCCGGTCTCTTTGTTTTGGTAAGAGCACCATCTTGGATTCCCACCCCACCCTTGCCCCCATATTTTGTGAATCTCTTTTCTTTCTTACAAGTATCTTGAGAAAGAATCCCTTTAAAAGCCTTTAAA